TAACAATAGACCATTTACACAGCACAAATTGCAAAGTTGAGTGGGTTATTGAATGGGTTATTGGCATTCACGTTACATTTAATCACTCTCGATTATCACTAAAGCACTAAAGCTGACACACACTTGCAAATTCAAGGTGCAGCAGTTAGTGCTTTCAACAAAGAATTCATTCAGCATAATTCAATGCATATTTGAAATGTTATAAAAGACTGGGCCTTTATCTTTTCCAACTTGTCTTTGCTTTTTTTAAAATCTAAATTTAATTTTTCTTTATAATTTGGCATATTCCACTGGTATTTGCCTCTCTATGCAGTCCCGATCAAGTGGCATCGTTCATGCACGAGTCTTGGCATTGAGTGATCTGCGGGCCACTTGACTGTAGACAGCATCATAGCTGCCACATACGTACACATCCAGTAGAGGGTACTGAAAAGGGACCAAACCTTGCTGGTTTTCCCATCCCCAACTCTGGGAAACCCAGGGCCAATTTAGCCTTCCCATGCACCCCTGGCTAAGACCAGCAAACTCAGCATGGATACGAACCAGCAAACTCCTGGTCCATAAACTGCAGTTCAACACTACACCATCGATGAACTTGATAGATTCATAAATTGTCGTATTTTATTATTACTATAACATTGAATCTTCAGAGTTCTAAGAAAATGCTAAATTGTTATTTGGATGTTAAATTACAATGTAAAATGACATTTGCATAGCGCCTTTTTCATCTGGAGGACGTCCAAAATTACCTTAGTAACTCATTCACCATTAAAGTACAAAACCGTCTATAAACCAGCATAAAGCAAATGTCAATAACTTTTTTCACAGTTTATATCATTATGTCTACAGCTAAATTATTGTTCCAATTGGTTCACTGTCCCTGTGTGCAATTCTCCCTCATGTATCTATTACTTAGAACAATATGTTGATCTTTGAACAGTTTGGTCTACACCTTTACCACAGATTTAGCCGATTCTAACTTCCTGGCCAGTGAAGGAAGACTGTGATAAGGTGACAAGACATGGTGATGAGGAACATTTCTCTTGTGCACAATAGAAATCAAACGCATTAAGAGCAAGTTCAAACTGAGCTTTCAATTAAACCACCCTTCAAAAAGAATCCTCTCCGCTCCGAGCCCAATTAATGCTATTTCCTGACCATTCCCTGCATGAGTTATGCCCATCTCGTGACCACTTTCTATCTAAGTCATGCCCTCTCCTGCTCATTCCCTGCTTGAATAATACCTGCATCTCTGATCCCAACCACAGCTCAGGTCCCACTAACAAGTAAAGTACCTGCATAGATTAGAAGTGTTTTTTCAACCAGATTAACCCATTCATCTTTCATTTTCTTTTCAATGTAAAAGCAGCTTCAGAAGCATAATCTAGCATTCTTAAGTTTACAGATAATATAAGTCAAGTTATGCAATTCAAGAGCACAAGGCACTTACGAATGATTAATGAGTAGCTTCCATATTTTAGTATATCGGCAAAATACGCAGTCACTCCACTTTACAGCAAAGCTTGTGAAGAGCTTTGAGATGTCCTACTGATGTGAAAATCGTTCATTTAAATGCAATGATTATTATATTTTGCAGGTTCTATTCACTGATCTTTCTGTGGCACTGGCATGGGCTTAGGGGTTCTGCAGTGTCCGATTGTATACCCCATCTTTTCTAATTGTACAAATGATGTCTAAAATCTCCCTCTATTCCTTTTCCCCCGGCTCCCACCCTCCATTTGGAGGCTAGAGCCATTTTCCCAAACCTGGCTTTTTTCAGGCAGTTAAAAGCTCAGATATCAATCGTTGATGTGGCCACATTAAAGAGACATTTTAATTCCTAGCCAGCAAACTGGAAAGACACTGTTCAACAAGCTGACTTGCAACCACAGCCCAACACTCTGGATTTGTAAACCCATCTTGAAGGCTCAACTTGCTGCTGGCAATGAGTTAAACTTATGATACACAGGTTCATTTTAAGCTAGTTCATTTTACAAAGTTACTGCCCCAACAAGGCTCCTTTGAATATTTAATAGATCTTAAATTACAAAAATAAAAGAATGAGATATCATCATCTGGTAGTAAAGCTTCACAATTGGAGGGCGGCTATGTTTGCTCCAGTCTGTTCTTTCTATGCTTGTACGGCATTTTGACAAACACCTACATTGCCACCAGCACCTGAAGGATGTGTGTGTGAATTGAGATGAGAGCAAGCGTGTGTGTCCAAGCTTCAAACTGCACAACAATCAGTGACCTGCAACAACTTGTGAAACACAAAAGGAACCACACTCAAAGAACAAAGGATCAACCGTGGGGGCTTCCCACTAAAGAAAAGTTCTAATGTGGCCAAAGAAATACATTGTGAAAATGTTCAATTGTGTGGTCAAACACAGAATATCTAACCAGAGTCTCAGATATCTGGTTACTTTACGTTGCAGCGTGTTCCCATGCAATTTTCTCATACAGTGAAATTCATTGGAAGGAATACATAAATGAAACTTGCACAGAATGCCAAAACTACCTTTGAAATCTTAATCAATCGGATGGAGTTACAGAGAGCAGGGGCAAAATGGCTGAGGGTACACCCACCAAGGGGATATGAAGCAAACAAACAGTAAACCTATTCGAAAATCTCACCTGACTGTAAACCTTTGTCTATTGGTGTCTAAACCCACATGCAAACAAGCAGGAGCTAAGCAGTTGCATAGAAAATTACAGGTGCTCTTAGTAACATAATGACAAGTGAAAGTATCACAGGTGATTCTATACAATACAAAATTATATTTGTTTAGCACCTTTCACGTCGGAAGGACATCCCTTTGCAATGTCCCTATCATCCTTTACATTGATAATTACAGAATTAAGTGTGCTTGAGCTTCACCCACATTTCAAACCACACATGTGGTCCATTGCCAACACCATCTTTTTCCTACTCCTGAATATTATGATAATAAGCCTTGCACTTGATATAGCACCTTATCACATTGTTGAGATGTCTCAAAGCAGGATTTTTAGTGTAAAGTGAAGTTTCTGTGTATTAGTAGATGTATAGGAATGTGTCACAAACGGGCATGAAGTAAGTGAACAATTTCTTTGGAGGGTGGACGGGAGATTGTAGAACAGGATATCAGGAGAAACTCCCTTCACTTTTGAATGATACCATGGGTACTTTAACATCCACCATAACAGACATACAGGAGTTTCGTTTAACATCTCATCTGAAGGAAAGCACCTCTAACATTGCAGCACATTGTCACACTGCCCTACACTATGAAATCAAAGGCCATTGTGGGTCTTGAACCCACAACCTTCTGACTCACATGCAAGAGTATATTGCCACTTACTCCTTTGCCTCACATCCTCTGTTATTGCTGTTGTGACTGTGAGAAGATTTCCATTGCTCGTCTCACCAATCTGCCTCACTCCACTTTCCAAACCTTTCAGTGATTCACAATTCTTCAGCCTGGGTTTTCTCTCACAGAAGACTCCACATCAACCCCATCCTTGCTTAACTACATTGATTCCTAGTTTGTCAGAGGTTCGAATTTAAGAACTTTGTCTTTGTCTTCAAATCCTTCCATAGACTTGCCGCTAATATGTGAAGTTTTCTCCACCTCTGTTTTCGGATCCTTTGCTTTTCCAACTCTAGTCTATTGCTCACCACTTTGGTTTACCACACGCAGCTAAACTTTCAGCCACCACACAGCCATCCTCTGAACTCTTCTCCAAAACACTTCATTCACCTTGTTACCCACCTTTTTGCTCTCAAAAAATTCTTTAAAAAGCCTGTGGTCAAGATCATAAAATTTTTATTGCCCTCTTGGGAAATCCCTGTTTTCCAAAACTATATTTACCAAGTGCTTTAGATGTTCTTTTACGTGAAAGGTACTAGATACAATCAAGCTGCTATTGCAACAGTCAATAGGGAAAAGAACATGAGGATATTTTTTTCCTTTGTAAAGACTGGGAGAAACAAGAATTCAACATTGTTTAGTTGTTGATTGGAAGATAGCTCTGATGCAAGTTTGACTTTAATTTGCCCAAGCTTTCTAACTTAATATTCATATCAAAGAGAAAGTGGAAACCAAGACAATTCTTAATGAAAAGAGTAAACATGCAGTCTACACACAAGCAGAATGGAGAATATGAATATTTTGGTTTGGTTTAAAGTGTCCTTTTTTTTAAAAGTTCACTGTAAATCTCCCAGTTTTCGCAGCCACTTTATGGGGCACTCCAGCTATAAAATTAAATGTCAGAATTGCTCATCACCACAAAGTAATCCTGTGTGTGTGTATATGTGTGTGTGTGGTGAGGGAGAGGAGTGGGTTGGGTGGAGGTGGGGTGGAGGGTAAAAAACAGAGGACCGTTTTCATTTGGCTTGTTTCTATAGGTATTAAAATCAAAATGCAACAGCCAGCTGTTATTTAGGATTGTCAAATCCATATAATTCATCTTCCAATTAATGGAGTGTCTTGCTAGGCTCCACCATCATGTTCTACCAGATAAAAACAGCTCATTGTAAGTCCTTTGGGGCATCTTGAGATTTCTCAGCATCTATGCTCACTTTATTAAATCTATCAATTATTACCAAAACAACCATGCTGCTTTGAAAAATTAAGACAATATGTTTATGATTCCATCCACACATACACACACACACAGAAAACGTCTCAAAATAAAAAGATAACTATACTTGCAGATGTTCTTTTATTTAGATGTTCTTTTGTTTAGATGTTCTTTTACGTGAAAGGTACTAGATACCATCAAGCTGTTGTTGATTGTATATTTCGCCCACAAATATACAGTCAATTCGCTTTACAGTATATTCTGTGAAGCGCTTTGAGACCTCTCGAAGACGTGAAAAGCGCTATATCAAATGCAAGGATCATTATTATTATTATTATAAAAGGACAAAGGACTGGCTGATACTTTAAGACCCCACTTGCTCTTGTTGCCATGACAAAAAAAATAGCTTTGGAGTTTAAGAGATAAGCTGTTACCTTGAATGCTTCTCTTGAAAAAGGCCTTGCAACCTTCACATGACCAGACTCCATAATGATAGCCCGAGGCGTAGTCACTACACACAGCGCAGTATCGGGTCTCCTTGCTGGACTCGAGAGCTCCCGCTGACGGGCTGCTCTGCTCGCTGGTGCTCGATAGGTGGTCGCTGCCCCGTTGACGCCTATTGTCAGCATTAATCCTGCGGGGGGTAAAAGCACACCGAGCACAGTGCAACAAGTCAGTGCGCTTAGCAAGGCAGGAGCACACACAATAAGCTCAAAGACAAGCACAGTACAATACAGTAGTTTGGGAGGAAGATGGGTTGGGAGAGGAGACGGGTGGTTGTGGACGGTTGGGAAAAGGACAAGATTTAGGTTTTGGCAATTCACACCCAATAAAATAAATGTGCGGTGTAAGTAAGCTGTTGTTGATGTAAACCTGTAGGTTTCCAGCACGTGCTCTCTCATACTGGTCCTTGTTGCTGAGGTAACGTTTTATTTTCACTTCACTTTGACTAATTTTGGACACACAGACAGACAGACAAGACAGACAAAACCACTTGCCTCGTTGAACGGCTGTAGACTTCAGGGATATCATGTGTCAGGAGGTTGTCCAAATTTAGAAGGAGATGTATCTAAACTCCTGCAACAACTCTCGGCACTTAACACAGTGGAGGGAGATGAGCAGAGCTCGGGAACAGGCTTACTGTGTGAGAAGTCAGGGCTGGGCTATTCCAGAACACCTCTGGTGACAGACCAGCCAGTCTGGCTCCTTGGATGACCTGGAAGAGCAGACCAGTTATTGGGGGCTGGGATTCTTCCCGCTCAGCTGCTGTAAATCCCGCATGTCAAAGCCCTAATGGGTAGAGTGGGCTGAGCTATGCAAACAGCAAGAAGCTTGTCACATAGTCTCTCAAATGCTTTGCAGTTTAGGTGGTTAGAATCCAGCAGAACCCTAATACGCACACTGGGGTCCCTAAGTTTTGGCTCTCATCAACCTGCGACTAATGCTCCTTAGAATTAGGTAAGCAGTATGAGTTCCTCCAGGCGATGCTGTTCTTGGTAGGAGGTAAATGGTTAGCCCACAGAACGTAAATCACTTATATTCCAAGTACAGTATGTCGTGTGTGAAGTAGGGTGTGTGCTTTGTACCTCTCATTGTATAAAATGGAATTTATTAAAGAGAAAGAAGAGGGGAAAACGATTTACAGCAATTTGAAAGGAAATTATTTTTATTCCAATCAGGAAGTCAGGACAATCTGATAGAGAGAATTATGCAGCCACTTTGAGTGATGCTCATATTGACTGACTTGGTTCATATTTAGTGTTAAGAGATTCCTTGTTAATTCACTCTCTTCACTGGAGCTTTCACATAATATATATACTTCACTCTGGATCTGAAAAAGCTGCTTTGCATTGATATCCATAAACTTTTTATTCTATTTGAAAAGTAGCTGCTGCGTTCACCTTCATAGCACTAGTAATTAACACCAATTACCGAGGTGCATTTTAAAACATTTCGACTTGATAAGGAGCTATAACAATTGCAAAGATTATTGCTACTTTGCTTTGTTAGTCCTGCCCATTAATTTGTTTATTTTTTTAAACAATTGTTTTACTAACTTTTATAACAACCAGTTATTTAGTTTACCAACAAAGGTATTTGTGTTTGTGAAAGCAACAGCAGTCATATTTAGAATCTAACAATTTAGATTGTCAACAAACATTGCATAAGTGTCCATATCTGATCAATGAAATAATGAGTAAACTACCCCTATCACTGCAGGGCATTACGCAATGAAGTAGCCATTAAAATACCCAAATTAGTTGCAACACAAAAATGTTGTGAAAATAAGAGGAATGAGACTGAGTGTGTGAACAAAAGCCTCATCCAACAAGTGGTACATGAGCGGAGGAGTGAGCAGCTCAGGCACGAACAGATTCCCAACAGTTTATCACTCTTACTTTTATGTATGGGAACCATTGTCAAGGACATACACCAAATATAATTTAGGAGCAAGAATGATCACTGTGGCGTTTGGAGCTGCTTTTCACATGTAAACTCAAAAGTGAAAGGTTAAATGGTTCCACACAATACCCGCTTTTCACATTGAACCTAGATTAAGACTCAATTCATTCAAAGCTGAGAGGTGTCTGAATTTCAGCGCATTGTGCTCTGGGGTGTGCTTCATGTTTTTGGCCACTTCATTAAGTAGTTCACAGCTATTATAACAAGTTATGTTTTCTATTTTAGCTGTTTTCGGATTAAATCAACCAACTGCCCTCATCTCAGGATTAATCCCTAATTTGTCATTATGTTAACAGTGTAACCTGTATACCCTGGTACATAAACCGGGTCTCAAAACATTTCCAGTTTGTTAAATAGCGCTGAGCTGGAACCTGCCACTCTTTCATTCCTTACACATTTGTGGCTCATTCCTTTTTTTGTTAGAAAAAAATGTTGAATAATGCGAGGCTTATTCACTCTTATTACAATTTGAAGTGGTAGGATTGAGGAATAATATTGCACAATATTGATATTTTAATAATCGTTGCATTTGATAAAGTGCTTTATCAAGATTATACTGTGTAGTGATTTGTGGATTTGCAGGTGAACACAGCAGGCAAATTGATCCCAGCAATTCTCATCAAAACAGTGCTGCATTGCTGGTGGTTAGTGACACTGTGAACATTATGTGCTAACTGTATCACAGAGCTACAGGGCATAGCTTCATACTGTGATTCATACTCAGGCAGCAAGTTCCTTGCGAGGCTGCGTGCCTTGTTCACAAGAAACCTGAAGGAAACATGAAGGCTAATCTTAGGCTTGTCTTACGATCTGTTACAGAACAGCATTGAGAGAGGAGTAAAGGATATGGCTGAGCTTTCAACTCAAAATGTTACACGTGGAGGGGCAAGAAATATAACAGGATTACCAACAACTAAAAAAGAAGGAATTAACAGGAAAGCGGAACGCTAGGTTCCTTGTTATTCTTACGTTAAGACATTGAGCTCATAACCTCAGTTGACACTCCAGTGCAGTGCACAGAGCAAGCGCTCGAGCACGCTGCCCTGCCTGAGGGGCGCTACATAAATGCAAGTTGTTGTTGATGCTGCATTGTTGGAAGCCCAGTAGTTTGATTGAGATATTAAACTGAGGCCCCGTCTGCCTGTTCGGGTGGACGTTAAAGATCCTACGGCACTAATCGAAAGAAGAAGTGAGTTTGTCAACAAATTGCAATTGGCTGCTACCATCGCCCTCAAATACCCAGTTGGTAATTATCCAGTCAACAACCACAACAACAACAACTTGCATTTATATAGTGCCCCGCACGCAGGGTTGAGTCCCAGAGTGCTTGATCGTGGTGGAGCACGATGCTGAGCCGGGGGGAGGTGATCGTAGGCATGGTCAAAGAGAAGATCTTCAGGCGCGATAATAAAATAATAATAATAATAATCCTTGCATTTGATATAACACCTTATCACATCGTTGAGACGTCTCAAGGCGCTTCACAGAATATACTGTAAAGTGGATTGACTGTGTATATTTGTGGGTGAAACACGGCAGCCAATTGCGCACAGCAGTGTCCACAAACAGTCGTAGATTGAGTGACCAATTTTCATTTTGAAGGTATTATTACCCCCAGAAAGCGATCTGCCAATCGACTAACAACTGATAACTTTCACGATCTGATAGCACGGCCACTAATGGTAGAACGGAGGGCACAAAGGACTTGCAGGAGTCTGGAGCCAGTCGAGCAGAGGCAGCAGGTTGTGGGTTGGGGAGTAAGCAGGTCGGAGAGGTAGGGAGGTGCCTGGACATGAAAGGATTTGAAAACAAGTGTAAGCATCTTGAAATCGATCCGTTCAGCGATAGAGAACCTGTGAAGCTGGTAGAACTGGGTGTGATGGGGGTACGGAATCCTTACACTTTACAGTAAATCGTGTGAAGCACTTTGAGACATCTTGATGATGTGATTAAGAAGCTATACCAAATGCAAGGATCATTGTTATAGGTTGTTTTGAAGTCTGTAAATAAAATATACAATGCTTGGGGGTGGGATCAAGTTTTCACATGTCCTGTCTGCTGCCCTTGTTTTATATCACATTGTATGTGGAAACTGCTTCATTTGCATTTTCTGGGAATAGTTTTTCCATCCACGTTTCAAATGAAAAATAGCACAGAACTTGCACTCCACCCTGAGCTTAAGCAAGGGACCAGAAATTATGATCCTTGCATTTGGTATAGCTTCTTAATTTTGTTCCATAGACAGCTGATCAGAGCCGAGCTGAGTCCTGCAATATCCTACAAGAGAAGTGAACGTGTTATGTCTATGAGTTTGAAAGTAACACTGCATGGGCATGAAGAGAGCATTCTGTAACAATACTTTTACCAAATATGTAGGCTTCTGCTCCCACCACCAGAACATTATAGACAGTAAAGACATTGCAGGCGTTTATTACATATAAATTGGGAGTTGGGGGGAGGAACTGTGTCATTTTATCAAAATGATACTGAAATCCTCAATCACTACTGTTTAGGATTCTATCCTCACCCCAGAACAACCACAGTGACAGGACATTGTATTTAAGTGGGGGCGAGCGATCAGGGAATTGTGGCATCACTGTTTTCCTCTCTCAAATTGAGGACTAATATTTACGACCTTTAACATCTCAGCTTTTTCCCCAGGCTTCTATCCTTGCCCCCTCCCAACACCCAAACAACTGCAGGGACAGTATATTCTCTTTAGGCTGGGGACTGCAGCTATTGTGGTTGGGAGGGGGGGTGAGGTGGGTCGGGGGGTGCGATGATGGCACAATCGTTCTCAAAAAGACATTGATATATACGGCCATCCTAAGAGTTTTATATATCTCTTCAGAATACAAGTTAGAAGCTCTTTCTGATTTAATCAGCCAAGCACAGAATTTCTTTTAAACATTGTTAGAAGTTTTACAGTTTTTGCACCTGTGTGCATTGCCAGAATCATTTGAGCTGTAAGTGAGATCTGCAGTCCTCCTTTCTTATATCCTGAACACCACTTTACAACAGTTGCAGTGGGCTAGATTTGTACCAATTTATAATTATCTAATTTAAAGCAATGTACACCAACATTTGACAATGAATAAAGGGGGCAATGTCTCACCCTTGTATGCCTTGTTTAAAACTACCGATATCTCGCCTGCTGAGTAAAGGGACATTACTGGGGAAATAATTTTGTTACAGGTTTTCTGGTTACATGGCTGTTTGCAACAGGGGTTAATTTCTGCATTTATACTATCATTTCCAGAGTCTTTACACAGTCACTCTCGCTGCATCATTAAAATAGCAGTACCATCCTGCTTGGTGCCATCACCTCATCTCAGGATAAATGATGGACTGACCAGCGCCTTGGGACATCCTTTCGACACGAAAGGTGTTATCTAAATGTACATTTATAGTGTATTATATTAGAAGGGAATGCTGTTACAGGAATTGTGAAGCTATTGGAAAAAGTACATAATTTCCCCAACTCTTTATCATGTCCTCGGAGAATAAGGTACTCTTGCCTGAGCAAACAGCCAAACACAGAACTTGAAGAACCAGTGTGTCTTCTGCAGTGTTTATTATTGCATAACACACCGAGTTTTATAACACATCTTGATCACTTAACTTAAGTTAACTTAACTTCAGAGTTATACCAGTCAAAGTTTCTTAAATTGTGATCATAGTGCATTGATAAAAACTTAATGTAGTTAGGATTTTGCCAATGTCTCTCCTACAAAATTAGAAAAAACGTGGGATTTCTACAAATAAATTCAGAACAGCAAAAAGCCAAAACATAGCCAGCCTGTCAGTCACATGGAGATTCAGTCTGTCTGGGTACACTCTGTAACATTAATTGAAAGTAAAAGTCACTGTGTGAACACTGAATGAATTGCCGAAAATAATGTACAAGTGTATCAAATGTCACAGTTGCATTCAAACTGGACGCTGTAATGCCGGATTGAATGTTGCAGACCATCTCTCCGGGAAGTAAACTTTGAGAGAACAAAACAAAGTTCAAGGAGAATAAGAGTGTGGCTTTACTGCAAACGGCATTAAAAAGAGCTTACCTGTAAAATGTGGACGGGGTTGCCTCCCGTAGTCCAAAGCTGCTGCAGCTACTTTGTTCGTTTTCCACGTAGTATGGTACCTGTTGTCCATGGGTGACAAACGGCGATAGTTGTGGAGCTGTCTGTAAAAACACCAGTGGGTTTGGAGACATGCTGTTAAGCGAGTGAAGGCCTCCTAGGCTGCCGGAACCATGAGAGTCAGTCGAGGCTGCATAGCTGAGACTTGCTGGGTTATACAGTGTAGCTGCAGCAGCAAATTCATAGCCACCTTCTGGGTAATTCATTGTCCCTGCTCGATTTTTTTCGACATACATTTCATTTAGAGGTCCATCCCCACTTATAGGTAACTGTAGAGTTTGCCTGCCAAAAGTATCCAATTCACTAGCCTGAATCTTCTGCAGAAGAGCAACTGCAGGTGATTTGTGATGGAGTGACATTGCCATAATCAGCATCCACGGGAGAAAAAAATTCAGTGTCACAATCTGACACTGTCGCCTGGACGATCACACTTCATGTCAATTGACCCACCTAGAAAGAAAGCAACGTACAGAATCAGGGAGGATGAATTTAACAGCGTTTACTATTGATGACAGCGCTTCACAGTCAGACTGCTTTGCCTGAGCGTAAGGAGGAGGAGGATACAAGTGAGAGAGTGCAGGGAGAGGAACGAAATCAAACTTCAGACCAAGTCCTTCTCATCTGAACTAATAAGCATTACAAAGGTGCTGGCAGTGAGCCAGAACAAGCTGTTTTACATTGGCACTGGTGTACGTTTCATTGCAGGCATACACATTGTTAAAGTGACACCAAATAAATGTTTCACTAGCCATTACAGACAAATACGGGTGAGCTTTTACTCTGTGATTCTACATAGTGTTAAAGAGACAGAAATCTTATTTTATCGACTCGTGTACACTGTCTTGCCCTGCAATTAGAAATTAAGTCTGCAAACACACTTTCAATGCCTTGTCATGGTGAGAAAAAAGAACATTGTTTACGTGAACAAAATATAAAATAGTTAAGAAATTTCCATTGATGTCCTTCACTTCACAGTCCCTCTGTACCTGAAGCGTTCACTGCTACAGTGAATTGTTTTTGTTCATGTGTAACGTTTATCAGATGTTAATATGCCTGAAGTTTTAAAAGGCTTTTTTTTAGAATTTATTACTGATGTAATAGCATTAATAAATTAAAAGATAAAAAAAGAAAGTTAAAAGAAATATGGTGGTTATTTTTACTATTGTGACCGCAGGCACATTAACATCTGCTGACTGTCGCAGACATGCAGGATCGATCACTCAATTAGAGAGATCAGTATAAGAAACCTCATCTTCGCAGGACTCCCAATTAAGTGATGTTTCCTGATAATGGTAAAAATGCTTGGTGTCATCTGCACTGCTAACCTGGAGCTAGGTGTGCGAAAGCAAAAGCTTTGCGATAAGATTGTCTAACTGAGTGAAGCCTTTATGTATAAGGTTATCTAAAGGGACACTTTGATGTTGTACTTGATCGGATCTTACCTTTGAATTGGTGATATGGTGACTGAATTATTTTTATTTGGCCAATTATTTGGGAAGCAGGATGTGCTCAGCCCTGCATTCAGATGTTCAAATCTCCCCAAATCTGCTGTTCGCTCTCGTTTTGGGCCAAGACTCTTCTGATATCTGAAAAAGCTTTGAAATCTCCAGGAATACTGGTAAATCTCCTTTAAACGGCCAAAATTGTCCAAAAAATGCAGGCAAAGAATAATGGGCACACCAACCTTAGAGCCACCACTGAATGAAACTGTTCCAGCGCTCCCTGCAGTTGGCTTACAGGCGTACAGTTTTAAATGGGGCTGTCGGAATATGTGTGTCAGCCTGGCTCAGTGGTAGCACTCTCACCTCTGAGTTAGGAAGTTGTGGGTTCAAGCTCCATGTCGGGATTTGGAATCACATTGTCTAAGTTGACACTCCAATGCAATGCATTGTTGGAGGTGCCTTCCCTCGGATGAGAAGTCAAACCAAGGTCCCATCTGCCTGTTCAGGTGGACATTAAACATCCCATGGTATGACCCAAAAAGAGAAAGGAGTTTCTCCCAGTGTCCTGGCCAACAATAACCCCAAATAAAATTGGTCACTCATTCCACGGCTGTTTGTGGGACATTGCTATGTGCAAACTGGTTGCCATGTTTGCCCACAAAACACACAATCGCTCCACTTAACAGTGTATCCTGTGAAGTGCTTTATAAAATCTTGATGAAGTGATTATACCAAATGCAAGGATAATTATTATTCATTATAACACAGGCAGCGTCTTGGGACATCCTCCCGACATGAAAGGCGTTATACAAATGTAATCTTGTTGTTGCTGTTGTTGTAGTGGAATCCAGAAAGTAAATCCAGAATAACAGTTTTACATACGCCAAGATGGCAGGATAAGATGGCAAAGGTTGATGGTCCATGAAAAGTAATTTCCAGACGGAGACCAGAGTATAATTATTTGCATAAAAGGCAATCAATAGCTGGAATGGGTTTCCAGGAAGGGCAGTTGAGGGCCTGGACAGTTGACTCATTTAAGAGACATTCTGATGTTTCTTGGTTTCTTGGCAAGAAAACATATCTTGTCCCAACCTCTGCTATTCCCACCCTTTAGCTCTCAGTCTCCCCTCCCCCCCCCCCCCCACATCCCGTTCACTGTCTTTCTTTAAATCCCACTTAAAAACCATATCTTTGACCTATGGTCATCTCTCTATTCTTCCTTGCTTGGTGTCCAACCCTGTCTCGTGAAGTGTTATGAGATGTTATCCTATGTGAAGGGCGCTATATAAATGCAAGCTGTTGCGGTGGCTGTTGTTATTGGAAACACAGTAGATTTGATATTTTGGAAGGATCATATTAAATGGGTTGAAAGGCTTTATTTATCCGAACCACTATTACAATAATCTTTGTTTTTTTTCATGTTGTACATCACAATAGTTATCTGTGAAACACTTTAAAATGGTTTGACATAAATGTAGGCTTTTTCTTTCACATCATCCAGCATTTTTATATTCCACCAGCACTATAATGTTAGTGCTTTTTATTCTTCTCAAAATGCAAATTACAATTATTATAAGATTCAACTATTTGTACCACAACTACCAGTGTTCAATAGGTATTAGCTAAACAAAGTGATAGACAGAAAAGAAAATCTGATACAACGTGGAAAAGTAATGGACAAACATGTTCCATCTTACTCTAGAAAACCCATCTCAAATCCTCTGGCTGACCACTTGTAATTCAGCTCTATTCACATAATTAAAATATACAATCATATGGATTGCTCAACCTATAAAAGGTTGAACCTGAGTAGTGAATCGATTCTCAGTTGAACATTTATCATAAAATATTTATATCCCAGATAGATTTGTCATGAGGTGCATTAAAAGCATCTATGCCATAAAGGTATAGGTCTCCACCCTCTAAAAGTTATTTACGATGATAATTAACAGACTAATCTTTGATGCAACTAGTTACACACAGAAGTTGTTTTCTGAGCCCTCCCAAGATAAAATCGCACATTATGCTTCTCTTGGAAGCCTCTCTGTTTACAACAGAATCATTGCAGAGATTTTCCCAAACCATCTCCCTCATCAGAATCTTTCATTTATCCTGACCTAATACTCCATGCCAGCATCCGTTCATTAGCTACAGATGCCGGAAACCAATAGATATAAACTGCTCACGGAATTAATGTGAGTCTTGTACAGAGGATTATTCTTGCACAGCTGCATAGAAAAGTTTAGAAGACATTCAGAAGACATGGGATCTTTTATCAAAACTTTGTAAGATACTCAAAGGTGTTTTCCATGGTGGGCGGGGTGGTGGCAGGGAAAACAGAGGGAGTTGGAAGATGAAACTCCACTCACCATAACATTTAATGTTGTTAAAATTAACATTGTCATAAAACCAATTAATTTTGCATTGAAGCTTCCTGGAATTTTTACTAATCGTCGTTTTGCTCAGATAAGACGTTAAACTGCCTTTAAACTGCATGCTAACGATCCTACAGCACCATTAAAATTGACAAGGGTCATTCACTGCGTTCACCTGCAAACTACGTCACTACACTTTACAGTAAATCCTGTGAATTGCTTTGAGACATCCTCCTGATGTGAAAGGAACTACATCAAATAAAAGGAATATTATTTTATTATTGTTGTTTAAAATTTCCTAGGCGCTAAACATGATGCAGGTCTGATAATTACACCCAGCGTTGGCCGGATGTTAAAATAAGTCTCGTGAGGTACAAAGATCAATGTTCTGATATTATTGTTAATGTGAAAGATAACCAAACATGTGAGAATAGAAACTTGCAATCACTTTTCCAAGAGCACCAGCGATGGCAAGTTACAGAAATACTTTTGTCACCCGAATATCTTGTCAATATACCAAGTAATATTGTGAAATTATTAATAAGAATTACAACAGTAAGATGGAAAAAAAACAATAAAGTAAAGGAACATAGAAGTGCTGGATATTGTGAAATAAACAACTTGGATTTTTATACTGCCTTGTAGATTGAAATGTCTGAAAATGCTTCACAGTAACTATTGTCGTGACAAAAAAAGGAAGGTAATTGGAATATTACAATATTGAGTGATTTATGTGGTAGTGCACTGGTTTGATTGTTCCTCCAGTGTTTGGAGGCCAGACCAGCAAGTGGTGGGCACTCTAGCTAAGGCAGACATCATGCTGGAGGAGAAGAAAAGCAGCCGCCTAATCCAAGCAATAGAGAAAGAAAACTGCACAGAAGGACAGGAGGCACCAGGAGAGGTCAGCTCCTTTCGGTCTAGGGATCCCTGTTGTTTTCCTTGTGGAATGAGGTTCCAGGAAATGTGGTTGAGACCCGGACCCTGGACTCAGCTAATATTCAGCTGTAATGGGAAGACGCAGAGTGGGTATTCTATAAGGATGACATGAAAAGGCATTACCATTCTTGCTGTAATATAACTCGATCCAAATCAAGGATGCAAATCCAAGTATGTTAGTAGCTTCTTCATTTGTCAATCGAAACACTCAAAAATCCCCCACTCTAAACCATGCACTTTGTCCCCCTCCCAATGTCCTCTTGTACCTCCGGCCCTTCTTCTTATCGACTCTTTTATTAATTGTCAATTTACTCTTAAAGGAGTATTCAACCATTGGGGTGTATGATGGTCTACAACATAGGAACAGTGATACAAAATATCCCATAGAACGTTCCTCTTTCAGTACCGATGACAGGTGGGGGAATGAGGAGAAGTTCTCCTCAAAGGACCTCATCAATTAAGATATCTTTTTTTTACTGTTTCACTGAACCATTAGTGGTTTATTCCCTCATTCCTCTGCTAGATTAATGAACCATTCCCTTTTAAAAGCCTCACTTGGATGATTAAGATACTTAATCAATGTGAAATGCTCATAATCAAATCAATGGTCTCTTATATCTTTGAAGCTAAAGTGTTTAGATAGCAAGGCTAGAGTCGTTTGTGCACAAAATCCACATTCAGTACATTTTACAGTAAATTCTGTGAAGCGCTTTGAGATGTCCTGCTGATGTAAAACACAGTGGCGGAGATAATAGGGGTGGGGGTGGAGCGAGAGGTATAAGACATCACGGAAAGCAACAGGAAGGTGGTGCCA